GACATTTAATTATGAAGAAAGTTGGGGATGAGGGAAAATAACATTCAAAATTCTGTTGCCCCGAAATCTGTAAACTTGGTAAAAGAGGACCCACCACTAGCAGGATATGTTTTGCAACAACTTGAAAACCTTGATGCAGAGGTTTATAAAGTAAAGCGTGGTTTGACAAAACTAAGGCTCCAAGGTTAATCACTTAGCAAGCTCACACGGGATCTTAGCCACAAATTCTGGCCCAGATGGACACACACCCTGCCTGACATAAGACTACTATCTGCCAAAAGCTTATATAAAAACCCACACCCTCCAGTAGATGACGTCATTCGAACTCCAACATCACATCTTGGGACTTAAAGAATGCCGGTCAACAGCCCTGGGCCATGAGAAAAAAAGAGTGGCAATATTCTGCCTGTGTTTTCATTGGCAGAGAGCAGTTTCTATCTCAGAGGCAAAAGTTTCAACCATCGGAGAAGTTGATTTAGTCAGTGCCTTTTTCTTGATTTTCCTTAAGGTTGTGCAAAAGGTTATCTGCTGATCGTCTTAGGCTTGTGTGTTCATCAAAATCCTCCCACCATGAGTGCAAATCTTTGTTTTAATGTGGCTCTTTTGAAACAGCAATTGTCACAGCTTCTTCTGCTCTGGCCAGAGGCCCTGACAGCAACAGGAGGAGTCATTGTCTATGACATGCTGAAATAAGCGAGACAAGATGTTTTTCTCCCTGGCTGCAGCAGATGTAAAGCATGGGTTTTCCCCTGAAATCTTCAGTGAAAAAAAAGAGACAAAAAACTTATAACATACTCTTGAGAACTTTCAAATGACATCATCTAACTTTGCAAAGCATGGCCATTTCAGTGCTGCATATTTGCACGCCTGCATAACTATTAACTGGCAGTCATGGGATGCGGGAATATAAACCAAATCTGTTTGGTTGAGATTTAGAATGAGTGACCTACTTGTAAATGGCAAAAATCTTTCAACACAGGTTGCTCATATGTCTCTCTATGTTCTCAGTCCAGATGCAAATGAATAAAAAAAGACTGAAGTAATGCATACATGAATCAAACTTCACAAAAAAGTGTCTTGCAAACCTATTCATTCTCCTAAACTATTTGATAAAACTATTGAATTAGCCCATAATCTCAAAGTGAAGAAAAAAATGATATATGATTTAAAATAAACTTTAAAATCTAACTTTTAAAGTTTAAGTTTGGGCTTTGACAGAGCCATTCAAATACCAGAATATGTTTGGTGTAAACCATCCCTATAAAGCTTTTTCTCTATGTATATTGTTGCTTCCAAAGAGGAAGATGAACATCTACCCAAGTCCTAAGTCTTGGGTATCTTCCAACAGGTTTTTTTTTTGTCTCCAGGAGTTATCTGCATTCAGCATAATCCATCTTCCTGTCAACTAAGAGCAGCTTATCTATCCATGCTTAACAAAGGCCTTTCAGAAGCAAAATGTTGATATCATGTGTGTGGCATGTTAAGGATCATAGGAATGTGGATTTTCTGCAATGTAAACCATTTGATTTTAGTCTGACCCAACAACTTTATTCCACGCATCAGCTCCGTCCCTTACATGGCTTATGGCAAGCTTTGAAGCAGACCAGAACAGATCTAACCCCTTGAAAAAATACCAAAGCAAACCACCCAGGATACTCCCCAGAGCCACTAAAAGTTGCCTGAGGGGTCTACCTTTAAAAGGTTAAGACCTGATCCTTCAAGTCAGCCATGTTGGGAGCTGGAGCTCCCCCCAGTCAGACAAGTCCCAGCACATCCAGCAAGCTTTCCATTAGGGGTTAATGGCTTGTTCAACTATGGTCATCTTTCGGTACAACCAACCAGCACACCATGTGGGGCTTCCTGCAGTTACGAGCTGACCCTGTTATTTGGCCTTTGTTGAAGCTTAGTGAAGTTTGGACTAAGCGTTCGCTTCCAATGTTCTTCATTAACATACCCCTGTCCAAGAAAGAGGACAAAACCCCTTGGGGGCACAAACTTTTCCAGACAAATTGCCTTTTCCATTTATAAACCAGATTATGAACATTCATCACTGATGGGTCAATTCTTTTTACAGAGAACCAAACAGAACAAGATGCACTATCTGCATGAAACAGACTTAGATAAAGAGCTTTCTTCATACAGATCAAAGCAAGCTTAAAAAAGCTTGAAACATTATAACAATCCGTGTCTTTGAATGTCTATTGACGTCATCACTACAGCCTCTGTTCCACTCTGGCTTACATTTTTAAAGGTATCTGGATTGTCTCTTGTGACTTTTATGGTGGTCTTAAGGCAGTTCAAACTCTTTCAGAGATGTTGCTAAGAAAAGCCACACAAGGTGGAAAAATTGGATGAGACAATCAAAGCTTATAAGACTTATGAGACTTTGAAGATCACAGTGATAGTGGTGCAAAGGCATTTATAAGCAGTTAATATCAACTATGCAGTGTCTATCTGCCTCTGTTAGTTTAACCTCAACATCGTTGAAACTTGTCACATTTCCATAAGAAAGTTTTTGAAAATAAAGTAATTAAATGAAAAATCCAGTGCCACAGGTCTATTGATTGATTTATTGATTGATTGATTAATTGATTAATTGATTGATTGATTGCCTTTATTGATCTCACAGTGGAAAAAGTTACTTGTTACATTGGCTCAAATAGTAGGTGGGGTAAATTCAGTATATACAGTGCGTCCACATATATATCTATATAACAGCTGAAGTCATTTTTTTTTTTTAAGCAGGATTATTATACAGGGTTATTGCACAGGGTATTTACATGGGTATTCGTTTAGATGAGAATTTATCTATATAAGTACTGTACTGAGTATTACATATAAAGAAATAGGTTATTGCACTGGGTATTAGATAGTAATTGCACATTATACCACCCTTGTTTCACCCAATCATCCTTTACACCCATATCACAGATAAATATTCACCACTTCTGTCTACATAACCACTCAACCAAACATGGCCTGCAAAAATGTACCCTTAAGAGATGTTGCAGAATTTTCAGGAGTGTTTTGTCTTGGGTCCTTCAGAAAAGCTGTACTTTGAAACACCTACAGTTTTGTGAGTGGCACAAACAAAGCATCAAACAGCGTGAAAATAGGATTTGTTTGAAAAGCTGTTAAAGTTCACTTGATTGGTGATTTCAAAATGACTGACATCTTATTTAGTCCTTGACTCTTTTTGGCTAAAGCAGAGTTCTCTAGAAATATTCTAACTCCGAATATTTGAACAGAGGCATTTGACACTCTTTGTCTAACAGTTAGTCTGAAATGGCTCAAGACCATAATAGACTCCAACCATCTTAAAACAATTGAAATTCTAGAAAGTTAATAAGGGTAAACTTAACATCATTAACCTTTCAATCCCCGCTGTGAATCCATTGGTTGGTTGTTTACACTGAAGCTGACCTTACTGACATAGGAAACTCCCTGGTTGTGCCCTACCCCCTATCTTCTTTTCCTGTGTCAACAATGTACCTAGAACAAACATCTTAAGTATTTCTGGTCAGAGCAACTGTCTTGTAGAAAAGGCAAAATGAGGTGAAATTAAAACTAACACCTCAAAATAATGTTTTATTGATGGTATGCTGCCCCACATTTGTGTTAGGAAGGTTACTTTGACCAGAAGTGTAATCATTGCAGCTTTTTTTTGTCATGTAGTTGTAAATAATTTAGGTTTACCACCATGTAATATGTACACAGTTGAGAGCTTGTGTAAATAACTGCCTAAAGCAAACATGACAAGGGTTCAGAGGTTTATAAAATAGTCTTCACATAAACAGCTATGATCTTTTTAAGTTAAACTTGTTGGTAGATGTCTCATTTTGTTGAAGCCCCTCTTAATGCCATAGTGCAGTTTATGCATCTAAAAACAGCTATGAGTAATTTACCACACATATATAGCAGAGAAATAGCTGAACTATCTATTATTTGTGTTCTTCTGCGTTTCAAAATTTAGCTGACAAATAGAGACCAAGTTGTATGCTATAGAGAAAACTTTAGGTGAAGTTTGTTATGAGTGATATTAGTCTGCAAAATGGAAAAAAAATTAGCTGACTTGATGGGGAGTACCAAAAGTAATTAGATTTTCATGTAAATCTAATTACCATCTGTTTCTCTGCTGCAGTAGAAGAGGGATTGTGGTGTGCTCTTTTATTGCACAAGCTATGAACATGTTCCGCCATCTCATGATTATTTCTCTGTTAAAGTAAACGCTTTGCTGTTTCCATCAGTCTACAATATTCCTCTAGGTCCTCCCAAGGTCAATCCAAATGTTTAAATATGTCTGAGGCCTTACAGTTCTGCAGAAGTCATTACGATGAGGCTGGAGTAGAATCGGCACCGCCTTACAACTACTCCTTCCAAACCGTGTATCACCCTGCAATTAGCATCAAGCCTTGAACTGGTTTGGAGCATACTAAAAGTAAGCAAAAACATTTACTACTAAAGCCACCAGATTAAGAGGAAGTACCTTTAGGATGGTGTTTATGCTCATTTTTAGTCTACATGCATTTTGTAGAAACCTTTGATCACCTATTTAATTCCAATAAATGTAAAGACTGGTAAGATATTCAAATGCAGAGCCACTGATTGTGGCTTTATCCATTTTTCACAAACTCAAAGACATTATAGCTTGACCCAGACATATGACAGGATGTAGAGCATGAGGATTTTCAACTGAAACTTTCTCTCTCCGAGCAGATCCTTTGTGTCTGCAGCCGCCACACCATTAACATTATGTCTGTACATTCATGTCTGTACTTGATTTCTCAAAAAAAAAACAAAAAAAAAACCTACAACACAAATAGGTATTAAGGTTTATACAACCACATACATATAAATTTTGTTTCCTCAATATTTGGAAATATTTTAAAACCATAAAAAATTAATTCTGTATAGAATAATAAAAGTCTTTGTTGAATCATCTTAAGTAATGTATAAAATAGTGAAGCAACATGCAATAACACCCAAAATAGACTACTCACTGCTGAACAATAGAGCACAGAGCAGCAGAACTCCACTCATGCTTCTGCAGAGCCCATTCATTCTCCACATGGATGCAGCCATCCTCTCTAGTCGGATTCAGCACGTCTGGCGGGAATTTCTGTGTAAATGTCAGAAGGGAAAAAAAATGCCGTAAATGAGGGAGAGCTGGTGGGCCAGAAAAATCGGAGGTACTCTTGTGGGGTCTTTGAGAGCGGGAAAGACGAGAAGGATAAAGCCTGGCTTGTGTTCCTTCTCTCTTTATATGAGCCCACTCCCTCAGCCTCCCTGGCTCAGTTTTTTCCACACCCCTTTTCTAACTGCCTTACGTTAACCCATTTCCCCCAAAGCAACGGCCCCTGCTTCCCCCCCTTGCCCCAGTCTGTGGGTGTGTGTGTGTGTGTGTTTTTAAGGATGTAGACCAGGCAGCAAATTGTGACAAGATGTTTCTGGGAAGCAGGCTGGGTGTTGTTTTAATGCAGCCTTGTGGATATTAGGTCATGTTTCTTAAAAAGAGAAAGAAATGATATTAGTGGAACTATGGTTGCTAGCAGTTGTAATCCAAAAACTGTTGACATAGTTTTTTAGGGGATAATTTGCCTCAAAAGGTAATTTGCCTCAAAAGATAAGTCTTTTCTGCTTTCTCTTATCTATACTACAGAAGTCTTTCAGATCACAACAGAAAAAGTAGTTGAAGAAAAAGAAAACCTTAGTAAAAACAAAATCTTCCTTAAGGGAAAAGAACTATCCAAACTAACCTTAGGATAGATCTGAAAATAATGTGGTATAACTTATGGAGGTTACAACTATTGTTGTGAAACTAGCAATGAATCATTACGTCATAGTACAGGAATCTGGTCACACTATTCCTTAAATAGTTATCAAAACTACAGGAAGATGTCCAGGTCCATATCCATAAAAAAAGAAAGTTTCCATAAAAACAAAGCAGTTTTGGGTCATCATACTAACACCACCATGTTTGACTGTTGGTAGTATTTATCTTTCTAAAATGCTTAGTTTTTGTTTTTGACAATAGTAATGAAAGGCACATATTCTACAGGGTTCCCCCAGGGTCTTAAAAAGTCTTACATTTACACATTTAAATTTAATATCTAAAAAAGTCTTAAAAAGAATGAAATTGGATGTCAAAGCTTTTGAATTATATACAGTTACCCCCAGAAAGTCGGGCACCACTCGGGAGAATTCGGAAATGCAACGGTTCGAACAGCTGCTTCCCTACGACTTCAGAAAGAGGACAAAATTCTATTGTTGGAACTATGGTTGCTCGCAGTTGTAATCCAAAAACTGTTGACATGAAGTTTTGAGTGTCATACAAGATAATTTGCCTCGAAATTACAAATTTCCCTCCTATTGCTAACAAGCCAGCAGCTATTAGCTCAACGCCCTTATCCCAGTTTGTGGTTGTGCGAGTGTTTTTAGGGATGTAGACCAGGCAAGAAAATGTTACAAGACGTTGTTTTGCCTTGGGGGTTTTCTGCCTGTCCTTGACACTACAGCATAGCAGATTTTTTTCCCTCACAGTGTGTCCAAGAACAATTGTGAGAATGGTCAGGATTCTGACTGGAGCTTTAGGATTGGGAAAGAGCAGATGATTTATCCCTAATTTTTTTTTATATCAAATTGAATTCAATGTTATTTCAGGAATGGAAATCTGTGCAATAATCTATTGTATGAAGGGTAGTTGTGAATTTTGTATAATATTTCTTCTAAGTAATATAAAGCATTTACATGGTACTTTTAATCTCCTCCTTATAATCTGAAAAATGCCCCCTCTGCTGCTTTATGTTTTTATTTGCAGATGTGAATTTGGATGGTAGTTAAGTAGGAAAATCAAATATGATTTTCAACTTTTGATTTTGGGTTGGACATTCAGATATTATTTAAGGTGTGGAACTCCATACAGTGATCTGTAATTTGAAGTATAGCTAGAGGACTGGTATGAAAATGTGTCTTCTAAGCAGTGTAAAGTTTTTTAGCTCCCCTCCTCCTTATCAATCAAACTAATGACTCCTCTGCCCCTGTGTTTTCTTTTGTGGGTGTGATATTAGCTACAGTGATGGGTCTTCTATGAGTTTGGCAGCTGTGCTTATCACAAAGTATGAATACTTGGAAGCAAAACAAACTTTTTATATGGTCTTGCCACCTTGAGAACGAATTAGAAATTGTGATTTGCAAGGAACTTAAATAATTTTTCATTAATGTGTTATATTTGGAACAAATTATAATAAAGTGTTTTCCATTTGTTATTTCATTCATAGTGCGATTAATTGATTGCACCACATATTCTTTCCTTGGTAACCAGCCTTAGCAGATGTGGCCAATGATGTTACAGTTTCCATGCATTCTTTCAAGATGAAAATCTTTCAAATCAAATTGAAAGATTCCATCCCGCTGTGGTTTAAAAACAGCTTATTTCCTGTAAACAGAAAGCTATGTTTCTTATCATCTTACTGTTTAAGGATTTCACTTTAACAAACAACTAAGGATAAAAACACATCTATCCCTACGGTAATTTAATAAATCATAATGCATAGAGGAAAGAAAACAAAGAAAAAGAAACTAAACACACAGAAATTATCATGTAAAATTCCAAGAGCAGTATTTAACTGGGCATAAGCTGAGTATTGCCAATACCTTATTAACATAAACCCAATATTTATCATAAAACAAACACAAAAGAAGACCGAATCCCAAATACCCGTGAGTCAGGACAAAGGGAAGATATGACCTAGACTTAAAATAAAACAGCTAAATATATTTTAAAAATCACTAAATTTATTTCCTTTTACAGAAAAATCTGTCAGATACGGTATATCAGTTTAAGAACAAGTATTAAAAAAATTATTTTAATTAACCAAGAACCATTGCTGCATGTAACACTAAAAAAAGACAATAAACACTAAAAATGTTCGGTTCAAAACAACACATTTTGGGTAGTTTCCCAACCCAGCGATGGTTAAATATTGGACACAACACATGCTGGTTTAATCTAACCCAACAATTTGTGTTGGTTCCCTTAAAACAGCAACTGGGTTTTTTATACAACATAATTAGGTTGGTTATATAATCCAATCAAGGGCTGATATTAGCTACACTGTTGTTTTTTTTTAACCCACTTAAGTTGGTTTGTTAATATGAATCAATTATTTAACATACTGGAATATTTTATATAATATTACAACTATATGCTAATTATTTTTTATGTATTATAACTATTAATTATCAATATTGCGATCATAATTATGTATTATTTTCTTGATGAAATATATCCTCACACCAATAATATCACAGTAAATATTTCTTAAAATACAAAATTTACAAAACCTGCAAATATATAAAAAAAATATATAAATATGTAAAATTTCAATAAATATTTCCAAGTAAAATTTTCATTGCAAATGCAGTGGAAATTTGCAAATGGAATTGCAAATGGTTGCAAATGGGCTATTACAAATGAAAAATAATATCCTTATAAAGCACATAACAGCAGCAAGCCTTCTCAGTTTCAATAGTCATGCACAAGATCACTACCAAGACTTTAGAGAAAAGAAGCTATTTGCAAACAGGAACACAAATGGGTGTGACCAGGAGGACTGCTTTCTCCAAGTACTCCCCCATGTTAGTTCCAACCAATGATGAGAAAAAAGAAAAACAGTAAGTTAAAAAGGTCAACAGAGCTGCCGCTTAGGTGGAACAGAACCTTGGATAATTTGCCCCGGCAACAATAGTCCCCTCAGCAGTTTGTATCAGCAACAATGCTGATTCTTACACTTTCAACAGTTAAAGAAAATAATACAGTACATTAAAATATTAGTATTTGATTTATTATTGACTTACTCCGTAAGTAAGACTACTGAAAAAAAATAAAAATAAATTTGGACAAAGCACACTGGGTTAGCTTAAAGAAAACAAAGATTCATCACTGTGTAAGCTAACAGCTGGATTTCTAGCATATTGATTCCTGAAGCTAGTATTCAACAATGCCTCACAAACTTTCATCTTAACGACTATATGAAGCATCATATAATAATATAAAATCAACTATATGGTAAGAAAAGAAACCGATTAGCTGTCAAGGCTCAGATCAGAGGACCCATTATTCAAGGCAAGACAGACAGTCGGATAATTCAAAAATGTTTATTTTTCAAAAAGCGTATCTGCAGTAGCAGCAATGACGCCTAAGGCAAGAACATCTGCAGGAGGAAAACTCAGGTCAGTGACCACAATGATCTAAAAGAGGATGATTATGAAGGTGTGAGTCACTAACCTGGTTTTATAGCCTGGTCCATGCCCAGAGAACAAAGTAGGATCCTGCTGAGAGTGTCCCAGACACCACAGCCCCAGAGAACAGAGAACAAGCAGAAGACCAGAGCCACGCAGATGAAGGAAGGCAGGATAATCCAGAGGGCAAAGCCGGTGTGCAAAGGATTCAACGGGCAGAATCCAACAGGAGTTCATAGACAGATCAAGGCAAACAGATCAGATGGGAACAGACAGGCTCAGTGGGTGAGAGGCAGAACAGGTCAGGACCAGGTAATCAGAAACACTAAGGTAATGCTGAATCACTTTCACCACTGGATCTAGAATAATCTGGTCTGATGACTGGAAGCAGGCAGGTTAAAATTGATGAGATGGATACAGGGGGGCTCAGTGGTTGACGCAGAACAGGAAATCAGAATCCATAAGATAATGCTGAGGAACTCTCAACCCTGGATCGAGAATTATCCGGCCTGATGACTGGAAGCTAAGGGTTAAAATTGATCAGACGGAAACAGGAGGGCTCAGTGGTTAAGAGGCAGAACAGGTAGTCAGAAAACTACTGGTAACACTGTTACAGTTTCTCCACTGGCTCGAGAATATTATCACCTGATGACTGGAAACAGGCAGGTTAAATAGAAGCAGGAGCAGGCTGATCAGATGAACTAGAACTAGAACAGATGGTAACGAGAAACAAGTTAGGCAGGTTAATGAAATCAGTAATCCAGTCAGTCATAAGCACCAATACAATGACAGTAGCCTATGTCATAAATCTTTGTGTTGAATTGAGTCTGATCAGTCTGGTCTCATCAAATCTTGTTGAGCTCCTGTACAGTTAGGGAGCACTGTGTGGCTGCACATGCTTGAACATCAACCCAAGGTGTTAGGTAGTCCAAATTAAGGTAATATATTATAGAAATCCCCAACAGATTATAACTGCATGCTCAAAAGAAATAACCTCGGTTTCTCAGAATAACCAATTCAATGAAAAAGGTAAATTCAA